TTGGCTGTATCTGATTATTGACAAAGGGAACCCATTGTTTACCATTTATTGACACATAAACATTTAAAATTTCACATTAATCAATTAGAGGTTTTGTTTTATAGTAAATTTATTATAATAATAATTATAGCAAACCAAGTGGATTTCCCCTCGACTCATAGAAGATTTTCATGGACTTATTTTTTAAATCATTTTTTATTCATACGTGTATGTCTATGTGAGTGATGGCACACGCATGTGGCAGCAGAGTCCCCTGGAGCTGGAGTTACAGACCACTGTGAGCTGCCTGACGTGGGTGCCCCAGAAGCACACTCCTAACCTTGGAGCCGTCTCTCCAGCCCCGCATGGACTGCATAGCTGGGTGCAGAGTGGCGTACAGAGCCTGGTCTTCAGCAAGAAAGTACAATTCTGAAGAACTAGCATTAGCTCAGGCGCGATGGTGCATGCCTATGATCCTCGGATGTAGAGACAGGGGACTGACTATGAGTCTGGGATCAGCCTACCTGTCATATTCAGACAGCACGACCCTGCAGACAGCATGACCCTGCCTACAAACTCATACAGGAAAAAAAACCTCATATTTTCTTTCTTTTTTAATGGGGGTTTATTTTTATGTGTGAATATTTTGCCTGCACGTATATCTATGTGCCATACATGTGTAGTACCCTCCTGCAGAGGATGTTAGGTACCCTGGGACAGTCATAAGTTTCCATGTGTGCTTTTAGGAATCAAACTCACACCCAATGCAAAAGCAGCCAATTCTCTTAAACACTTAGACGTCTCCCCAGTCCCAAGAATTACATTTTCAGCACAATCATTTTGAAATGAACCATGCTAAAGTTTGCCAATTTCTTAGTGATTCCACTTTTTGTGCCCATGTATCAATCTGAAACTTTGGTGTGTACATGTATTCATGTGTTCATACATACATGTATATGGTGGTCAGAGTCCACACTGGGTGGCCTCTTCACCCGCTCTCTAGTTTCTTTTAGGATTTAGTCTATATATGCGAGTGCTTTGCCTGCATGTATGTAGATGCACAGTACATGTCTGGTGCCCCAGGGGAGGGAGTTAGATCCCCTGGAACTGGAGTTACAGACAGTGGTGAGCACTATGTGGGGACTGGGAACAAAGCCCAGGTCCCCTGCAAGAGCAGCCGGTGCTCTTACACAGCTGCACCGTCTCTAGCACACTCTACCCCATTTTGTGAATGGTCTCTTGTGAACACAGAGCTTGCTGATTGTCTAGTCTGGCTGGCCCATGACCCTAGAGAGCCTCCTTCCAGGTGCTCCTGACGGGGAGTACAGAATGCCCCCGGTCCAACTCTTACTTGGGTTCTAGAAATCAAACTTGGGTTCTCGTGCTTGTGAGGCAAGCATGCTACCTGCTGAGCTATCTGTTGTAGTGGCATTGCATTTGTATTTTAATAGATAAAGCCTGCCTGAAGGACAGAGAGTAAAACAGCCCCACTGGTCAGCCTTATAGACCAGGTAGTGGTGACACACAACTTTAATCCCAGTAGCCACACAAGTTGCCATAGGAACCATGCGTTGCAGCATGCCTTTAATCCCAGTGGTGCACGCCTTTAATCCCAGTCTTGGTAGCTAGCTTCCTCTGAGATTCCCTGTCTTCACCTTTCCAGCCTAGAGTTACAGACAGGCTGCCACGCCCCCTCCACAGCCACACAGGTCCTGAGAGTCAGAACTTAACTGCTAAGCCCTCTCCCCACCCTCAAAGGTCTAACATTGGACTTGGCACACTCTATGAAAGCGGTGTGCCCAGTGCACAAGGACGTAGACGTGACTGAACTTCTACATAAGTGCTCTCAGGCCCTTCCTGAGCGATGCTCTGTGGCCTTCTGGTCCCTACATTTAGCTCGTAACAAATCAAGACTCCAGGGTTACTTAGTTTTCAAATGACAAGTCATCTTCAATCTGTGAATAAGCCACGGACTATCTGGGATATACTTTATTAAAATACTCAAAGTTCGTTTGAGCTCTTTGGACTGAACCTGGAAAGCATGGGGAAGGACGGCGAGTTTTAGGAGGAGGTGGTGTTTTACGCACCATGTGTCCCTGGTCTGCGGGAACCAGTGCGGTTTAGGTTTTTAATAAACATCGGTTGACTGCCCGTAGCAATAGTCATTAAAGGGTTAAACTGAGAGCCCAGGAAGTACAGCTGATGCTGGGAGAAAGGAACAGCCGCTGATGATCTGGGGAGACCACTCAGCGGGTAAGAACATTGGCTGCCCCTCCAGAGGACTTGGGTTTGACTCCCAGAACCCACCTGGCTACTCAAAAACACCTGGAACTCCAATACCTGGGGATCCAGTGTCCTCTTCTGGATGCTGCAGGCACTTTCAAACACATAACACATGAACATGCTCAGGCCCCCACACATGCTACATGTAAAGTCACAGACACACACACACACACACACACACACACACATACATACACACGTACACACACACAAATGGTTCTTGACATTGAGAGTCCAGCAAAGAAATGGACCATTTTTGTATGCAAAGATAAAGTGAAAAGTGAGATTTTTCTTTTAAAGGTTTAATTATTTTGTTTTATGTACACAAGATATGAATATACAAATTTATTTGTATGCAGTTATATGCATATATTGCCTACTTATGTCTGAGCTCCACATGTGTGCCTGGTACCTAGGGAGGTCACAAGAGGGTATCAGATCCCCTGGAACTGGAATGACAGATGGTTGTGAACCACCACATGGGTGTTGGGAACTGAACCTTGGTCCTCAAGAACAGCAGTCAATGTTGTTATCTCTGAGCCATCTCTGACACCAACAGGGTGTGGGTGGTGCATGCCTTTAGTCTCAACACTCAAGAACCAAGAAGATGCAGGCAGATCCCTGTGGGTTTGCAGGAAGGTCTGGTTTCCATAGAGAGTACTAGACTAGCCAGGGCTAAAGAGTGAGACCCGTTTTAAACAAAGCAAAGCAAAACAAAACCACAAAAACAAACAAACTAGCAATTAGTTCTAGCAAAGGTCACCCTTGGCTTTCACTGTCTGTCAGCACCTTTACCTAGGTTACAGCACAGAGCAAAAGTGAGCTGTGTGTTTCTTTGTTTTGTTTTGAGAAGGTCTTGTGGGTCCCTGGCTTGCCTGGAGCTTGTTACAACCAAGCATAACCTTGAACTTCTGATCTCCTGACTCCACCTCCAGGAGAGGAGCGGTAGGATTGTACACGTCTGTCACCACACCCAGTCTAGATGTGTGGTCCTTTGTGGTTTGGAAGGTACACGCAGGCTTTTCCACCAGGATCTAGAGGGGCACACAGAAAAGACAGAGCCTGGTTCAGGCCACAGAGAAGGCAGCACTGGGAAATCTTTATTATCCCATCTCCTCAGGTTCCCATCTCAGTCCTACTGCATTAGACTAAATCAGGCTTAACTGTTTCCCCATCCTGGGGCCCTCCATGCGTGTCCTCCTTCGGGTTCTCCTTTTTACCTAGCTCTTCTGGGGTTGTGGACTGTAGCCTGGTTATCCTTTGCTTTACATCTAATATCCACTTATGAGTGAGTACATACCATGTTTTCTTTCTGGGTCTGGGTTAGCTCACTCAGGATGTTTTTTTTTTTCTAGTTCTATCCATTTGCCTGAAAACTTCAAGATGTCATTGGTTTTTTTCCCTCTTAGTTAAATACTCGATTGTATAAATGTACCACATTTTCTTTATCTATTCTTTCAGGTTTTTTTTAAATCTATTTATTTATTATGTATATGCCTGCCTGCCAGAAGAGGGCACCAGATCTCATAGATGGTTGTGAGCCACCATGTGGTTGCTGGGGATTGAACTCAGGACCATTAAAAGAGCAGTCAGTGCTCTTAACTTCTGAGACATCTCTCCAGCCCTCTTTATCCATTCTTTGGTTGAGGGACATCTAGGTTGTTTCCAGGTCCTGGTTATTATAAATAATGCAGCAATAACATAGTTGAGCAAATGTCTTTGTGGTATGATTGTCCATCCTTTGGCATATGCCCAGGAGTGGTATTGCTGGGTCCTGAGGTAGATTGATTCTCAATTTTCTCAGAAACTGCCATACTTATTTCCAAAGTAGTTGTACAAATTTGCACCCCCACCAGCAATGGAGGAGTGTTGCCCACTCCACATCCTCTCCAGCATAAGTTGTCATCAGTGGTTTTGATCTTACCATCTTACACCTGACAGAATGGCTGTCTCAGGGTCGTTTGGATTTGCATTTCTCTGATGGCTAAGGATGTTGAGTAATTTCTTAAATAACTTTTGGGCATTAGAGTTTCTTCTGTTGAGAAGTCTCTGTTTAGATCTGTACCCCATTTTTTAATTGGATTATTTGGTATTTTGGTGTCTAGTTTCTTGAGTTCTTTGTGTATTTTGGAGATCAGCCCTCTGATGCACAGTTGGTGAAGATCTTTTCCCATTCTGTAGACTGCCTTTTTGTCTTATTAACTGTGTCCTTTGCCTTACAGAAGCTTTTTCAGTTTCAGGAGGTCCTGAAAGACCCCTAGTGTGGGGAGATTCTCACTCAAGCCTCGAGATGACACGACCCCCCCAGTAACTCACGGGAGACCGTCCTTGCTGTAATCACACGAGGTTTAATCGACAAGATGGGAACCAGTGCACTGGGCCGAGACTCATAACCCACGCAGGGGAAGAGTTCCACCCCGAATCACTGGGAGAAGGGGTTTTTAAGGGAAGAAACCACAGCCCAGTAATTCGAAAGGGGTAGGGAGGTCCAGTGATGATCACAAGGGGGCAACTCCCTGTTCTTCAAGGTTATTATCAAGATTGTAATCAGCTAGTTCCTGAAACACAGTATCCCAAAAATACCAATGATAATCACAAGGGGGAAACTCCCTGTTTCTCAAGATTACAATCTAACTTGATTATCTTCAGCTAGTTCCTGAAACTGAACCGGCTAATCCTAAATTTCTGATTCTTCCCTCCCTGCTTAGATTTTTAGCTCTATTTTTTCCTGCTAGGGGGATCTGGATTTATCCAGGTCTTTCATCTCCCCACTTCTTCTAGTGCCTAGTTCTAATCATAGAACTAGATTTCAGTATCTTCTTGACCTTGTAAAACACTATATTAGTGGTGTAACATCAAAATCTGAGCAGCATTTATTCTTTCTCTAATGAAGGTAATTAGTTTTAATTCATTAAAGTACTGAGGGGCCTGTATTAGGGCAGCTACCCCGAGGCCCAGGATTACTGCTAATATCAGAGAAATAGATTCTCATCAAAAGCAAGTTGGGTACTTGTCAAACTCATCTTCAAGCATGTTAGCTGGGTGATAAAAGCCCCTAGGCACCAGTTGTACAGGCACACAGTAATTTTTGGTGTCATTAAAAACCAATGTCGACACACAAGGTGTCAGGCCTGTACTACAAGCCCACCATTTATCTAAACCAGGAACCAAGTACCTGGTGTCAGGAGTCTCAGGGCTCTTAAGAGTCTCATTACATAACCTCAGTAAGAGTCCATCTATGATTAGTCCTCCAAACACAAGCCTTTTGATTGGCAGTGTTGTCAAAAGCCCCAGATACTGCAATTCAGGTAGTTCAGGAGCTCGCTTCATGTGGGAGGCGTGGATCCAGGCAGAGATGCATACTTCTTTCAGTTCCCAGATCTGGTGTCTCGCCACTTCAAGGGCCTTTAGACAGAAAAATAAATGTCTAGAAAGAATAGCATCAGGATTATACATTCCACCTGACTCAGTGAGCAGTGGCAGTTCTCCACATAGGATCTCATAAGGGGTGAGTTTAAATCGCCCTGGGGTGTTCCAAACCCGGAACAGGGCAAAGGGAAGGAGGGCTGTGCAGTCATTCCTGCAAGTCTCTTCCCGGCCCATGCACCAATTTTGTAAAGGTCTCTTTTAGAATTCTATTTATCCTTTCTACCTGACCTGACTCTGGGGTCAGTAAGCACAATGTAATTTCCAATTGATCCCCAGTTGGGTGGCCAGTCCCTGTATTATTCCTTAAAAAATGCTGCTGTGACCGCAGCCACTAGTCCAGGCAGAGACTGCCAGAGTGGTACAGATTCCCCTCGGCGAGTTGCAGAGCTGGCTGTGGGCAGGCAGGCAGAAGACAGAGACATGGACATGTAAAATGAGATTAAAATATTTATTCAAGGGGTTATGGAGGAAAAGGGGAGGGGAGGGGAAAGAAAGGGAAAGGGAGAAGGAGAGGGAGAGGAAGAAAGACAGAAACAGAGAAAAGGAGAGAGAGAAAAGACAGAAAACATATGTGCACACGCCAAGAGAGGGAACAGAAAGAGAGAAAGATGGCGATGAGAGGTCAGAAGTCGCTGGGAGTGGGCGTGGCTTGTCCCTTAAAGGGACCAGAGACCAAAAGGAATAACATCCTGACTTACCTGGGCAACAAAGGCAGGTCCATTATCAGACCTGATTGCCTTGGGTGTCCCAAACCTCGGGGAGATTTCTTATATGATCTTCTTAGCCACCACATTGGCTGTCTCAGTCCTGGTAGGAAAAGCTTCTACCCAGCCTGAAAAGGTATCTATCAAAAGCAATAAATACTTGTTACCATATCTGGCTGGCTTAATTTCTGTAAAATATACCTCCCAGTAGTCCCCAGGCCGGTCTCCCCTGAGCCTCTTCCCAGGAGTATATATGGAGTGTCCTGCATTAGTCATAGCACAGGCCTTGCAGCTTTTGGCTACTTCTTCTGCCAAGTCAGAGAGTCCCATAACATAATAGTCAGAGGTCCTAACAACATCTTTTAGTTTCTTGGCCCCTAAGTGGGTCAGGTGATGTAAATTGGTAACATACTTGTGTCCTTCTTTTTGTGGGAGGACTAGTTTTCCCCTTTCTGTCTCTACTGCCCCGTATGGGGTTTCCTTTACCAGGCCTAATTTGCCCATAACTTGATAGTCCTCGGGGGTGTATCTAAAGTCAGTTTCACTGATATTGTAATAATCTTTGGGCTCTTTGACTGCCAGGATCATTGCTCCCTGGGCCGCCTGTTTAGCAGTTAGGTTGGCCATCTGGTTTCCTTTAGCCACAGCATCTTGAGCTTTTTGGTGTCTTGGACAATGTATTATGGCTACCTTCTTGGCAAATGTATGGCCTCGAGGAGGCTCAAAATTTCTTCCCTATTTTTTATGTCTTTTCCTGCAGATGTTAACAGTCCTCTTTGTCTGTATATTGCTCCGTGTATGTGGGCAGTGGCAAAAGCATACCTGCTGCCAGTGTAGATGTTGAGACTTTTCCTTCTGCTACTCATAGAGCTGGTACCAAAGCCAAAAGTTCAGCTTTCTGGGCCAACTTCCTACAGGGAAGCTATACCCAGACTACTTGCTTCCCATCCACCGCTGCTGCCCCTGCCTTCTGCTTACCTTCAACCACAAAACTGCTGCCATCCGTATACCAGCTCAGACTCCCAGACCAAGGCTGATCCTTCAGATCATTTCGGGCACCAGCTTCTTCTGCCAGAATGTCAGCGCAGTGATGAGTAGATGAGGAGTCATCAGTCTCAGGCAGTAGGGTAGCAGGATTGAGGACAGCAGGGGGAGCGAAGGTCACTGGTTCAGTCAACAAAAGGCTTTAATCCCCTCCGGCCTGGTTCGAGTAAACCTGATCTGGGCCTTCAACTTTGTTAACAAGTCTCTTTCTCATAAAAGCATGGAACACTCAGGGATAACCAGGAAGGAATGAGTCACTTGTCCACTCCCCAAATCTACAGTTCATAAGGTGGTCCACAGATATTGTTTCTGTCCAGTTGCTCCAATTACTATAGTCTTTGTATTCTTTAGCTTCCCCAATGGTTGTTTCAGATTGCTCAGCCCCTATGTCCATTAGAAAATCCATAGGGGTTCCCTCCACAGTCAGGGTTACCCTAGGTGTGGAGGAGGGAGGTCCGAGCCCCATCCCCTCTAATCATCTTCTTCCAAGGCCAGTATCTTAGAGGCCCTTCCTTTCTTCTTTGGGCATTCTCTAGCCCAATGTCCTTTTTCTTTGCAATAAGCACATTGTTCTTTGTCCAAGAGGTGCCTCTGTCCATCTTCACTCATCTTTGGTCTTCTGTTGCCCAGGTTCCCTATCTGTCTAGGTCCTGTCTTTCCGTTCTCTCCTACTATTGCGGCCAAAATTCTATCAAATTTCTCTCTTGTCTATAATCTCTCCAGT